CAATCTGTGGAGGCCAGTGCAAAATGAACAGGCAGAAGTCCGTGCTCAATACTTATTAAAATTCCAAGATGGCAGCGGCGGAACATCCAGTGACGCACGAGGCCCTTCTGCTTGCAGGGCCCGTGGAAACGCGCAGGTCTGCCTGCCCCGTGAAGCTCGCCAGGGCCATGAAGACATAAGCCTATGAGTAAAAAGAGAACGGATAAAGATAAGCACGTGAATTCAGATGAAAGTCTAGAAACATTTAAGGGATGGAAAGGGAATATTGGAAGGCCTGATAAAAGAGATTAGATTAAATTAATGACAGGGAATAGAGAAGAGTAGGAAATAAAGATGGAAAAGTGAACAGATAAGAAAGACCAAAGTGAAAAGACAGATTTAAGTCAACTCCATGTGCCAAACCCACATTAAAAAGATGGACCAAAAGAAGCAAGTCCATATCTGAGCCTCCAAACCAACTAACCGACAAGTTGGTACTCTGTGCCTTCATGCCAAGGAAAGGACGATTCCAGTTACCCAAAGAGCCTCATTAGAAGCAGCAGAAGAGGGATGGTGAAAAGGGCAATGACTAAGTGTTATATAAAGGTTCTTTCAAAGTCCTTTGAGTACAAAAACATCTAAATGTGTGTCAACCTATTTTTTAGAATAAAGAGTACGTCTGACAATTGAAACCATACTATCATAACTAGCTTTTCAAATGATAGAAAAGATAGTAGGGCACTTGAACATGAACAGACAAAATGAGTCATTATGAAACATTGCTTTATGTTACACAAAAATCAGCAGTTAGATAGCTATTATATATGATAGCTAAAAAGGATTGCCAGCCACTACACGCAGCCAAGAAGAACAAAGAACAAATTCACAAAGCAGTAAGTTCATGTTTCTATTGTGAACAGCAATCAAAATAATCAACTGCTGGTTAAAGTGCATGCTTTGATATTAAAAAAAAAAAAACTCCAGCATATACATGTATATCAAATCCATTATCCTGAAAAATTATACTTGCAGCTCAACAAAACCACAATTGCTCAAAACATTTTTCTTCGTGGATAATTTTTAACCTGTAAAATATTTGGGTTATTTGGATTTTTAAAATAAAAATCTGGAGAGTAGGCTGGATCAAATATTATAATATTAAGAAAGTGATTTTCTTTGTGATTCAAACCAGTTCTGGAGGTAAGACAAAAAGAGAACTCACAAAATGTTTAAAAGTGATGACAGTATTACAGAGTATACTGTCTTGCTTAAAAGGTTTGTAAATGTGTAAGTCTGTGGAATCAGAGAAATTTAGAACTATAAAGTACCCTAAAGGCCATCTAATCTGGCTGCAGCTTCCTATTAAATGGATGAAAAGACTGAGGCCCCAGTAGGTTGACATTTCCCCGCGGCAACACACCTGGCTCAGGGAGAGGCATGACTAGAATTTAGCTGACATTTTTTCTCATCCACACCACCAAGAATATTTGCCAAAACAATATGACCTTCTAGAAAGTCACTGAGAACCACAGGTACCATCTACAAACATGCTGAATCGTTACCGTCTCCGAAAGCAAGTCAGTCAGCCCTGGTTGCCATGGCAATGACTCTTCATACTCACAGCCTGCTGATTACAAATGTAAAACGCAGCCGACCCAGACAGGAATAAACCTTATTAAAACAACATTCTAAAAACGGCACTGCTTACCTTGTTTGCCCATTCTGAGTTCCAGAATCTCGACTTCAATTGTCATATAGGCTCAATTCAGTCCCGACATCTGTATTTGATAGTATTAGGAGATACCCTTTGTCTGGAGGCTTTAGGGGAAAAACCCAAAAGTGATTGAGAATAACTAAACCAACATAATTGAAATTAAAAAGGTTATTATATGTGTATTAGCATAATCACACACACAAAAACTAAGCAGTGAGGTTCTAGTATTAAATCCCCTCGCTAGGAATTCATGAAGCTCCTAGCCTCCTGCCTGTTTTCTTCTTTCTCTTAGTGTCCATTTTTTCCTGACCCCATGCTGGTTTTTTCCCATGTGAATATGTGTTGTTGTGACCAATCTTTTATATGGCTAATACAGGCTGTATATCTATAATCACTCGGAATTCAAATCCAAAATAAGAGTCATGTTGCACTGTTTCCTAAGGAGATGTTTTGCTCTCTACATTGCAATCTGAAAAAGCAGCCACTAGAAATATGTTTTCTGTTCTAACCTGAAAATTTCATTCTCTAAGTTTCTACCCAACTCCTCTTGGTGATGACAGAAATTTCCAAGCCGAGTCCACTCTAAAACCTGATGTCCCATAGCAGAGAAGCAGGAATCCTTATGAAACCCCTTAAGTAAACACCACAACCTAAGACGTAATCCTTCAAACATTCCATAATACACATAGGTGGTAATCGAACATTTCAAATATTTATGCAATTCTGTGTAGTGTGATTTTCATACATTTTCTCAGGGCACATTCGTGTCAGATAGCTGGGCATGCCATATTCGTGTTCCACACCACCACACCAGCTCTCAGAAGAGAACAGCCAATCGCTCCCTGAGATCCGAGTTTCCAAGACATGCAGTGTCCACAGGACTGACACCTAACTGACCTTTCCTAACTGACCCATTTCCGACCCCCTGCCCCACTCACTCACTGTGCTTGCTGTAACTTCAGATCTGTGACCATATACTCGCCTGTTCTTTGTCCCTTTGCTCCTATGCTTATCTAAAATTATTCTCTGTAGCTGTTGCAGGCATAGAAAAGGAGTCTGATATTCTTTTATATCCACGTTATTGCTTCCACACCATTTATTCCACCAAAAGCTTTCGATACCCACAGCTCCTTTGAAGTTCTGCCAGCTTGCTATGCCACCCACCCTCTGGCTGCTCTCCTCCCTGGACCTCATTTACATGGGCCTCCCCTTTATCGAGGACATGGCTGCCTGACTCCCTGCACCACCCGTCACTCCTCCATACTTCAGCAGCTGTGGGATGACTCATCAGAAGCCTTGCTTTCCCAGCTCTTTGATTTCACCTTCATACACTTCTCTTCCACCTTCGTCCCTCATTCCTGTCATTACAACTGAGAGTTTGTTATTGCCAATAAATGCATCACCACCAAAATCTCCATCTGAAACATCCCACTTTGATGCTTCTCTTCTCTCTCACTCTGCAATGTCTGCTTCACTAATTCTACTTCACTCTGTTCTCCATCCATGGCCTCATTACTTTTTCACCCCCTTCTTGTCTCTGCTTTCCTTTTCATTCCAGCTAGATTCCACAGTCCACAACTATACTAAGGTCACCAACAACTCTTTGTTGCCAAATCCATGCACACTGTTCTTGTTCTTATGATATGTCTTCTTCTGCAGCATCTTTTGATTGTCACACTGAGTCCTGCACTTTTAAATGCCATCTGCGGTAACAACTTCCAAATTTATACATAGATCAAAGTCCAGACCTCACCACTGCCTACTTGAAAACTTCTCTTGAATGTGTAACAGGTATCTCATGAGGCAATTATAGCTCTTCCCCTAAGTCGTTCCCAACTCAGGAAACAGAACCAAAATCCACTGAATCATTCAAGCCAAAACTGATGACTCTCCTTTCCCTGTACTTTCCAACCCTCATCCAGTCCCATAGGTTCTAGCTCCAAATGCACCTCAAGTCAGTCCGCTGAGCTCCTTCCGCACCACCACCACACTATCCTAGTGCACCACCGTCTCCTCCCAGGGCTGTTCCGGAGTCTCTGGATTGGTTTTCTGTTTTATATCACGCACACAACACCAACTACCCATACTCCATAAAATAGCCAGGTATTTTGAAACATAAGTTAGATTATATTATCCCTTGCTTAACATGGTTCAATGTTATCCCTGTTCTCTCAGAACAAAACCAAGTTCCTGACCCTGGTATCCCTTTCTTCAACCTCACTCTACACAATTCTTCCCCTCAACCACAATGGTCCAAGAAAGGTCTTCCTTCTTGCCTATCACTTAAACACACCAACCCTTTTCCATCTTCTTGGCCTTGCATTTGCTAGTCTTTCTAGTTGAAATGCTGTCTCTCCCTACCCTCACCTACCCCCATTTCACTTGACTGATATTCTCATTCTTAATATTTGGCACAAATGTCACCTCCTCAGAGAAGCATTCATTAACATGCATCTAGAATGGCTTCCTACACCTACTGTCTATCTCATTACTGTTTATTTTTCCTAAGCTCTACTTACAGTCTGTAATTATTTTGTTTATGTACTTTCTTAGTTTTTCATTGCCTTGCCTTTCTCTTACAGTTTAGGTCCACTGATGTCAGAGACTCTGACTGTCTTGATCACAGATGAATCTTCTGGATCTAACGCATTGGTATATTGCAGGAACTTACTAAAGATCCCCTGAATAAATGAGAAGGAATTTGTACCTCATACATTTTATCTGGAATACATACATTGAGTGTGTTTGAGGGAAAATTGAGAATATGGCTTAAATTTTTCATATACTTTGTTTTCAAAATTATGCATTCCATCTGATTTTTAAAATTTGAGATTTTAGTTGTAGTGCTTTTTTTATTGTTTTGGTTTTTAATTTATTTTAATAGAAAATAAAAATTGTATATTCGTGGTACATAGCATGTTTTGAAATATGTACTAATTGTGAAATGGTTAGATAAAGCTAATTAACATATGCATTACCTTGCATACTTATCATTTTTTTGTGGTGAGAACTCAAATTCCACTCTCTTAGCAATTTGCAAGTGTACAATATATTATTAATTATGGTTGTAGTGTTGTTAATAATGCCTTTATTTAGCCTGTTATTTGCTTGGAATGTTTGGATGTTTCTACAACCTAGATTTAGATAAGCACTTCATAACCCAAGCAGGTTATATAATACATAAATATAATAACATTAATATTAGCAACTAACATTTTCTAAGAGTTCACTATGTGCCAAGCACTGCTCTAATCTCATGTATACTAAAGATACAATTATTAATATTACCCCTATTCTATGATTGAAGGGTCATCACCACCACTGAAGCGATCGCAAGGGAGAGAACGTCCTGAGATTCTCTCGTCAGGACTCGATAGCAGTGGCTGTCAGGAAGGGCCAAACTCAGCGCCAGCATCTCCGCTTCGCGGTCACACCGGATGAGAAGGCTTTCCTGAATCTTGGCTTGAAAAGACTTCTGTTCTTGGCATAATGAAACACATACTGTATCTACCAATAAAACCAAACGTCTGAATCAAATATTTAACTGATTATTTATCCGCCTTTTACATCCCTGCGGATAATAAGGCACCCTTTGCCCGGAGGCTTTCCTCCACCCTGGCCCAGTGTCATGCCGGCCCACCCCACACACGGGACACGGGGTGGACGAGGGCAGCTGATGTGGTGTTGATTACTTTAGGACAGTGGTCCTCAACTGTTTGGCACCAGGGACCGCTTCGTGTGAGCACGCAAGACCGTCTGTCCGTGGGCGGGGCTGTCAATACAGATGAAGCTTCCTTTGCTGGCTCGCCCACCACCCGCTCCCGCGCTGGCTGCTAACAGGCCACGGGCCAATCCGGGTGCCCCGACCGGGTGCGGAGCGCAGCTTCAGGACACTTCACGTGGCAGAGTTGCGCCCATGCCGTCCAAGTCCGTGGCTGGAGGGAGCTGGCCTCCGCGCGCTGGGAACGCAGGGCTCTGCGTCCAGCCAAACTGTGCTACTTCAAAGGAATTACATTCTCCGTTTTATGAAACATATGCCTATGTGTTTTCATGATATTAATGGATTTTTACGTTTTGAAAGAAACACAATTTTTTATATTTCAAATCTTCCCAAATGGTCTTAATTATTATGATTTTAATAAATAACTTTGAAAGACTAACAAATTTATATTGCAATGTAAAATTAATAAATGATTGAGAGGAAAGAAAGAATGCATTTTTAAGTTTTTTGTTTCTGTTTTTGTTTTTCTGTATAGAAAGAAAACTGTCGAAAAGCATCTGGATCCAGTAAAGGAGCACTGGATCTTGGCTGTCAACAACCCCATGCTTGCTAGATAGATGATTGATAGATAGATAGATGATAGCTAGTTAAAATAAATAGATACAAACATAGATATATAAATACAGATATTCCTCAGGTCAATGCCATTAGTAGTAACTGGTTTGATAATATACCTTATACCGGCTGCCTTTCCTTCCCAGTCTCTCTTCCCCACTTCCCTACTGGTGTTTCCTACACTTCTCAAATAAATTATTTTGCACTAGGAATCTGTCTCAAAGTCTGTTTCTGTGGGATCCCAAATGGAAACAATTTTGTTGGCATATGAATTACGAATCTGTGAAGCACTGCCCTAGGTCATGTACAATGAGAATACTATTCTCTACAAAACCAGTGCAGCACTGTTACCCACTAGTGTCAAACCGGTGTAAACAATATCTAAAAATGAGAACTCAGACCTTAATTCACAATAGGATCTGTGAGAAGAAATTCAGTAAGCATATCTGTTTTTAAAATACACATGCCTCAGTGCCTATGTGGCTTAGGGCTAAACTGGGAGGAGGTTTTTTTAATTGGCTATGGTGGGTTTTGATTTTTTGTTGTTGTTGTTTTGTTTTGTTTTGTTTTTTTAGAACTTAGCAGTAAATTTTATTCATACTCCTAAAAACTGCTTGTTTCAAAATATTTTTGCCAAAATAATATGAACTCTACTTTCTTCACTGTAGAATAAATAAAGAATAGCTAAATTTGATGTCAGCTACTTTCTCGATCTTTTCATGATAGTCTCTTCAAATGTCAAACTGCTGAGGCATATATTTTTAACATTCCAATATCATAGTGGGTTGCTTAAGATCTCAATCCTCGTCCTTCTCCACAGACATATGATTTTTATGAAAGATAAAACTGAATCAAGGAATTTGCCTGAGGGAAGGAGATGGAGAAGACACTTGGCCTAGGTTTCTGCCTACCCAAAGTGAAAAGAAATACATAGTGTCCTCTTTGGAAACTGCCACATTTAATTTGGTTTTAATGAGTTCACCCTCATTGCCAGTGTGTAGACAAAATTATTCTTTGAAAGTTTTTTTCATCTTCATCCTAGCTATATCCACAGACTTCCTCAGCTTCTAAGAATAAAGAACCAACACAAGGCAGCCAGAACACCAGGGAAGAGATGCCAAAGGCATGAGTCTTCCAAAAGAGCTTATCCAAATCCAGTGATTTAAGATGGACTTGGACGAAAGTATGGGATGGGAAAACAAGAGAAAAAGCTGCCATTACTCATTAGAGAGAAGGGACTATCATATGGATGGTTCTGGGTAAATCTCTAAGAAAAATATTTTCAAATATTTACTGGGCTCTTTCTATGTACTGGGTCTTGTACTAGCTCCCAAGAAATCAAAATTAAATAATTTATATTTACCTAATAATCCACACGAAAAACTGACACTTTAGTGTAAAAGCAGAAAAAGCAAATCCAAGATTTGATTATAGTGTTATAAACGTGACCACTAAGTTTTCCTTGGGTACTACAGGAGCTCAAGATCCTCTCAATGAGCCTGGGACTCAAGTATGTGAGATAGACTTTTTGCCTACCATGTCTTTATGGAAAAATCCACCCTCCTGCCTCCAATCCCTCCAAAACTCATAGCAATTTAAAGATAGAATTGTTTTCATTCTTTATCAACATAGTTGAAGTTGATAATTACAATTGATATAGTGTGATTGAAACAAAACATTTAACAAGAGAAAGTAGTATCAGACAATATAATCTCATCATCCTTACTGGAATATTCTTACCTTAAAGTGTGAAATTTGACTTTTCTATCCTGCCAACAATTTTTCTTTTTGTGGACTTTGCTACACAAGTATTTCAGAAATATTAGTGAGAACACTGTTTTCTCAGGTTCTGCTTCTCTTCCGTCCCCAGTTCACTGAAAGACAGATCGACTTTCTTCGGGGTTTGACTCCCTCCAGCTCAAGCACAGCCCCTCCCCTCAATCCGCGGAACTTTCTGAAGGCACAGAGGCTGAGCCAGGCTTGGGCGCCACCCTGCCTGGCCCTGTGGGGCTGGCTCGGCAAGAGCGGACCCATCACTGCCTCGCTGGCCCAGCACCAGGCACCAGAGACAGGAAACGAGGGCCTGTCCCCCCACAGGACCGGGTGGACGCTCTCCCACCACGAGACCCGGGGGGGGGGAGGCTTTCCCACCACGGCACGCGGGGGACGCTTGTCAGCCAGGGAACCCAAAGGACACTCTCCCACCACGGGATCTGGGGGTCGCTCTCCTGCCACGGGACCCAGGGACACTCTCCCGCCACAGGCCCCGGAGGACGCTCTCCCGCCACGGAACTGGGGGGAGGGGGGGACACCCTCCCGCCATGGGATCTGTTGACGTACAATGATTTGACATCATTTTTTGACTTCACTACAGTGCAAAAGTGATTTGAATTCAGTAGAAGCTGTGCTTTAAATTTTGAATTTTGATCTGTCCCAGGCTCATAATATAAGTACAATGATGGGTCAATTCATCTAATGCAAAGTTTATTTTATAATAATGTGTTAAATATCTCATGTAATTTATTGAATACTGTACTGAAAATATTCTGAGCATGTTTAAGGAAAGCTAGGGTGTTCAGTAGGTTAGGTATATTAAATGCATTTTTGACTTACAATATCTTCAACTTACAATAGGTTTATTGGGACATAATCCCAATAAGTCAAAGAGCATCTGTATAAAGATGAAAAGGTTTGCCTCATGAGTAAGAATAAGACATACAAGAATCAAACAATTTATAGAAATGGTAGTATGCTTTCATCTCTTCATGGGCAATAGTTGCATTTTAATCAACATATAATATCTAACGGAAAACTATTTACAGCCACACACTGCAGAAGGATGTTTCAGTCAACAATAGACTGCGTATACAAGGGTGGTTCCATAAGATCATAATGGAGCTGAAAAATCCTCCTCCCCTAGTGACATCATAGCCGTCCCAGTGTCGTGACTCAGCACATTCATTACCTTTTCTATGTTTATATACACAAATACTTAACCATCGTGTCACAGTTGCCTACAGCATTCAGTGCAGTACCATGCAGTACAGGTGTGTAGCCTGGGAGAAACAGGCTACACCATATAACCAAGGTGTGTAGTAGACAATACCATCTGGGATTTGTGGAAGTACGCGCTATTATGTTCACAAAATGACAAAATTGCCTACTGATGCCTTTCTCAAACTGTACCCCCTTCGTTAAGCAAAGCATGACCTATATTCATTTCTTGGCAATTGGAGACTAAAAAGGGTTCCAACATGGACATTTGTCATATGCTTCTCCCTACTTCGGGAATCAACCAATGTGTAGTCTTCAGCCCCGATCCCCCTTACACTTACTCATGGCATTTGTACCATTTAAATAAAAAATAACAAAATCAAAATGATCTGGCACTTTTACAAGAAGGTTCATCCTCAATAGCCTTTAACAATGTTAATAAGTACAGAGGAGTCTCCATTCTGTGGGAGAGAGAAAATCTATAGGAAAATGTCACCTATGCTGAATGGGGTGGTGGAAAGCTGCCATAGATGGGCAAAGTAACATTTTTTTAAAAGCTGCCAAAATGAAATTAGCACTCAATAGCCTTGACCTGAAGAATTTGAAAACTATCAGTGGTAATAGAGTTAATTAGGTGGTTAATGGCAAAAGATGAATAGCTATTTATATTTAATGCCAAATAAAGTGAATACATTGACATCTAGGAAATAGTATATAACAGCCCCATAAAACTATCAAGAGTGTTCCAAGTCAGCAGTCTGATTCAATAGGCATGAAAACCAGAGATTTCCCTAAAGTGTAGTTTTATCATCAGCTCTCATCAATTTGCTTTAGAAACCTCCTAGCTCTTTTCAAGTAAATTCCTGTGTAGTTTCATATTTTGTAAGTCATGCTTAGTTTTACATTTTACAATTCATGTTTAGTTTCATCAGAATGTTATAGAAGGAAGTGGTATAATTAAACCTCTAGAGCAGTGTCATGCCCGGGTAAAAGATCCACTCAAAAGTGTAAAATAGACCAATGAATCCTGATGTAAACAAACACAAGAAGTTCACTGCTATAGCTTCAGGCTCCTCATTACTACTAACCTTTAAGAAACTTACACTTGTTGAATGTTTGTGTACTATCAAAGAAAGAAATCCACAATTATCTGAAAATGCTACCATAATACTCTTCCTTTGTCAACCACATATCTGTATAAGGCTGGATTTTCTTCAGATATTTCAACCAAATAACATACAGCAACACAGAAAAAGCTTTTGACAAAATTCAACACCCTTTCATGATACGAACACTTAAGAAAATAGGCATAGAAGGGACATACCTAAAAATGATACAAACCATATATGACAGACCCATAGCCAACATCATAATGAATGAGGAAAAATAAATAAATGGGACAAGATCAAACTACAAAGCTTCTGCACAGCCAAAGAAATAGTCATGAAAGTAAACAAACTACAAAATGGGAGAAAATTTTTGCATCCTATGCATCCGATAAGGGACTGATAACTAGAATATACTTAGAACTCACGAAAATCGGGAAGAAAAAATCAAATAACCCTATTAAAAAGTGGGAAAAGGACTTGAACAGAAACTTTTCTAAAGAAGACAGAAGAATGGCCAACAATCATATGAAAAAATGCTCAACATCTCTAATCATCAGGGAAATGCAAATCAAAACCACAATGAGATATCACTTAACTCCAGTGAGAATGGTCTTTATCAAAAAGTCTCCAAAAATAAATGCTGGCGTGGATGCAGAGAGAGAGGAACACTCCTACACTGCTGGTGGGACTGCAAACTAGTTCAACCTCTGTGGAAAGCAATATGGAGATACCTTAAAGCGATACAAGTGAATCTACCATTTGATCCAGCAATCCATTGCTGGGCATCTACCCAAAAGATCCAATGACACTCTACAAAAAAGATACCTGCACTCAAATGTTATGGCAGCACAATTCATAATCGAAGGCTGTGAAACAGCCCAAGTGCCCATCAATCCAAGAATGGATTAATAAAATGTGGTATATGTATACCATGGAGTACTATTCAACTCTAAGAAACAATGGTGACATAGCACATCTTATATTTTCCTGGTTAGAGCTGGAACCCATACTATTAAGTGAAGTTTCCCAAGAATGGAAAAACAAGCACCACATATACTCACCAGCAAATTGGTATTAACTGAACAGCACCTAAGTGGTCACATAGGTACTACAGTAATAGGGTATTGGCCAGGTGGCGGGTAGGGGGCAGGTATATACATATATAATGAGTGAGATGTGCACCATCTGGGGGATGGTCATGCTGGAGACTCAGACTTGTGGGGGGAGGGGGGAAATGGGCATTTATTGAAACCTTAAAATCTGTACCCCCATAATATGCTGAAATAAAAAAAAATTATATATAAAAAAAACATACAGCAACAGATTGAATGCAGAAGCAGATATAAGAATTAGGCTATATTTAAACCAGACACAATTATATTTATGTGAATGTATAATAGTTCTATTATTTTTAAATAAAGTAGCAGATATTCTTAAATTTTCTGTGTAAATTTTTATTGTGATAAATAGATACAAGTCACATAAGAAAATTCCTTGGGCTTGTTAATAACTTTTGAGTGAAAGGGTGTGTGGATTCAGCCAGCTGTTAAGTATATCTGTTGCAATTGCACATTGTGTAACCGGGCCAACAGCTACAGGATGGCTTCAAGGATCCACTGGTGCTACGACGCGATGGACCGAGCTAAAACTCACTGACCACCCAAACCCTAAGCCCTTCTCTGGCTGAAGGGCCGCCGTGGTGCTCCGGGTCTTCTGGAACCGGTGTCCGTTTGGAGTCTGTGTCCAGCAGTCCCACACAGTGTGGTTGTGCAGAAGTGCCCAGTGGCGCCGTGCATCCCTTTGGTGAAGGCTGGGAGGAAGGCTAACAGCACAGACTTTCGCTGAGGAGGAGTCCTTCCTCAGGAGACCCAGCCTCCCCTTCGCTCGAGGGCTTCTGGGTCCGTCAACTGGGTGAAGTCCGAAAATTCATTGAGGGGCCGACACTGTTTTTATGATTCAAGTTGGACCTCTGTTCACTTGACCTGGTACTTTTATGCTTATACAGATCAAGCTAAGAATTAGTAGAATTTCTATCTATTTCACATCTAGAAACACTGTAAGTCACTAGCCAACACTATAGTCTACAGGGTCAGGCTATTCTGATTAATGCTTTGATTCTGACGTCTGTTAGGGTAACTACGCCTACCAGGACTTGGGCAGTTAAATGCCACCACTTGGCCCTTGCTCCATGTCTCACTCTAAAATTCTGTTCCCCTAGAACCACTTTTGGTACCAAAATCTGTATTAGTCAGGGTTCTCCAGAGAAACAGATCCAACAGGATATGTAGAGATATATAGGAGGAATTTATTATCAGAATTAGCTCACAGTATCTACCGTCTGTAAGCTGGAAAACTAAAAAAGCCGGTGGTGTTAAGTCCCAGTCCAAGTCTGAAGGCCCAAGAACCAGAAGCACTGATTTCCAAGGGCAGGAGAAGATGGAGGTCCCAGCTCAAACAGAGAGATAGTGAATTTGCCTTCTTCTGCCTTTTGTTCTATTTGGGCCCTCGACAGATTGGTCAATGCCCACCTACATTAATGAAGGGGATTTTCTTTAGTCAATGTACAAATGAGAATGCAAATGTAAGTCCAACTCTCTTCCAGAAACACTCACAGACGTATCAGAAATAATGTTTAACCAGCTATGTCGGGATCCCTCAGCCAAGTCAAGGCGACACAAAGGTTCACCATCACAGGGTTCTGAGCCCCCATATGGTGGTAAAGAACACGAGTTTAGAGCTCAACATGGTTTCGAGTCTCATCTAATACGTAGTTGTTGGATGACCACGGGTAAGGACTAAACCTCTTTAAAACTCAATTTCCTCATATAAAAAACCGAGATAGTACTTCAGTGGATTGTTGCAAGTTCTTGAAATAATATATAGAAAGTCCCTGGCATGTAGCAAGTGCTTAGTAAATGAAAGCTTTTATTGTTACATCTCTAAAGCACAGGGTGAGTATATAACAGACATGTAATTCATACTGCAATATTATAAAATCTAAGAGAAAAAGACGTTTCAAGAAAAAAATTTCAATAATGTCAAAATTTGGAGAGATAATGAATTGGGTAAGTGCTTGGTGAACACTGGAGAGTCAACTTGAGAAACACGTGTGTTTCTCTGGTGGCAAACGCCAGGTCCCCAGGGCTAAGCCCAGCGGTGGTGAGGGGCGCGCTGCTCCGACGCCCTCGGGCCGCAGTTCACTCGAGCCAGTCCGCGACCGCCTGGCAACATCCCCCGCTGTGGACCTGGGGACACAGTTCCGCAAGAGTCCCCACAAACAGACCTTCTCTTACAGAAATAGGTCGGCAAAGAACCTAAGTCTGTTTGAGGGATATTCCTTTCTTATCTAGTTGTCATATTCTGCATTATATTACCTTATATGTGAGCCAATATTTTGCCTCCATTCTCTCCCCCTTGAAGGAATTTAGGACACTGGCGGCATCTATTATAATGCCTTTCTCAGATTAGATACAAAGGAAAAATTCAAAATTGAATTGAATAAGTAATTTCTATAATGTAAACATATACAGTGACCTAAACAAGTGGATGGCATTGAGCCGCCAGGTGTGATGCTAGAAAATGTCATCAGCTGCCCTTGAACCACCTTTAATTTGATCTGCTGGTCTCTACGGTGAGTTCTCCTTGTACACCCAGAATCTCTCAATAGCAAGGACACTATTTTTCTGAGTGTGTCTATGCAACAAATTTACTTTCAGTTATTAAAGCCTTACTATTCTTTGCCTTTCTGGACTACTAATGACCTTAGTAAAATGCTGCATTTATAATTTTTGATTAGGTTTGAACCTAGGTGGCCTACATATGACATACAATTAAACTTTACTAGTTTTGATAATACCAATTCAGAGCTGTCCCTTATTCAGGTGTACAATTAAGCTTATTTTTCTGCTCTTTAGGAGAATAGATTTTATAATTAATTCAAACTCTGATCCAGATCACAATGATTTTTTTTATAAATTAGTTAAAAGAATAGAAAACTTTTCAAATTGCTAATCTTCTTTTATCTTAAAATTAAGCAAAATGGTTGGGTTACAAACAACAAGATCATTTGAACCATTTGAGAAGAGTTTAAAAAATGAAGATTCCTGCATTCCACTCCAAACCTACTGAATTAGAATCAGAATTTTAAATATATAAATGTAAAAATCTCCTGAGTAAACATCCCTAATTAATCTGATGATTAATCAAGATTGAGGACCACTGGACTAAATTATAATTAAAAATTCTGTATTAGTCAAGTTAGCCTAAGTTATGCAGTGATAACAAATTACTCCAAGATCTCAGTAATTTATAAGGAAAAAAAGAGTCAATCTCTTACTCTTCATAAGCATACATCGCAGCTAGCTGGGGCTCTGCACCACGTCTATCATCTTCACTCCAGAGCCCAGTCTTCAGAGCTTCATCTGAAGCTTTGCCTGCCTGAAGGCGGAGGGAAAGTGTATCAGGAGAGCCATGAGCTGTCACATGGCCACTCGTGAGTTCAACACAGTAGGACTGTACAATCTTTTTGCGGGGAGAGGAAATGAACAATTGTCAACAATACAATCTACCACTGGTTTCTCCAACTCTAAAGATTGTATAATAAAATTAATGACTCCCATATGGATATATTAAAAATGATGTTGATTATAAGAATTATCTTTTTAACAACTTTATTGAAGTATAATTGATATGTAAAAAGTTACACATATTTAACGAACACAATTTAATGGTTTTGCACAGATGTACACACCTGTGAGAACACCACCATGATCAAGGGAATAAACGCCGTCACCACCGTAAGCTTCCACATTCCCCTTTGTGGCTGTTCATTTGTTTTTCTTTTGTTTTGTGGCAAGAACAATTAACACAACTCTATCCTCTTAACAAATTTTTAAATGCACACTACAGTACTGTTAACTATAGGCACCATGTTGTATGGCAGGCCTCTAGAACTCACGCACCGCGAGTAACTGAAATTTAATAGTTCCTGTAATAGTTTGTCAGCCTTGGATCTTAATTTAGGCTCCTCTAAAAGCAGGCCCTAAAACAAGGACTTAGAGACAGATAATTTGGAAGTTAAGCCAGGAAGACATGTAAGGAAGTTAGGAAATTGAGACAGGGAAGGGAGAAGAACCAGTAACAAGCTGGAGGGCTCTGTCTCGCTGGAGGTCCCCTGAAGGGCCCGGGAGGCAAAGCCCAGGACCCTCCCGCCGAAGGGAGGAGGCTGAGCCTCTGTCCCCCGCCCTCCCTACTGATTCAGGGCTGCCTCCCAGCGGGTTAGCTCCCTCAAAGAAATTTCTGGCTTTATCTTTACAGCTGAGCAGCTCTAGTAACACAGGAGAAAGCCCCCGCAGAGAAAGGGAGAGACGCAGCTGTCATTGTCAGCGGGCGGTGCTAGAAACCGAGGAGCCACCAGGACAGGAGAGGAGCAGGGACAGCCCGCGTGCGCTACACCCAGTTCCCGGGTGACCTCCACTTGCTAGTAGACATTTCATTACAGACGCTTCATTCCTTTAAGTCAATCTGACCTGTCCCATAGTCAGTCCAAATTGATTATTTTCTTTCTCTATTCACCATTAGCATTTAATAATGCTACCTGCAACTTGTCCAGAAAAATCCTAGGTTGGGTTTAGTGCACACAGACCAATTAAGTATGTCTTCCACAGACAGAGGACAAGGGACGTAGTTAGATCTCCGGTATACCCCTTTGTCCTTTAACTTAGTACAAGAGTGGGGAAAAAAATTGGTGCTAAATAAACATTGTTGATTGACTTAAAGCATTGTAATAATTATTTAGATTGTTTAGGAAGGAAAGAAGTTTAGGTAATAATTATCTAATTATTATATAATAGCTATATAATGGTTATATAATAGATAATTTATCATAGTTATATAATAGATAATTATATATAGTAATTATCAAATTATTATATAATCAATTATGAATTGATTCCACAAATTTATGCAACATGTGGGGGCAAGATAAGAAGTAAGTATGCATGTGACTCATGGGTTCATGGAAATCCTAATATCAAGAAGAGATGCTTCCATATCTTTAAAGATAGAATTAGTACCACATCATCTCTCCATAGAAAAGAAATACAAATAATTTCATGAGTGATCCTATACTAGGAAACTGAAATATAATAAAAAATGATAAAAATAAGTTTGAGTTTTGCCTTGTCCTTTCTGACTCCCAAACTCCTTATTAAACTGTGCTGTTCTGATTGCTGTGAATTGTAAGCAAACCTTAGGGGAGCAGACACCCGCTCCGTCTCTTCCTCCATCAACCATGAAACAGGTCTACTAGAAGAAGAGGTGCATTATTTTTTATTCTATAAAATGTGACTTTTGTAGCTTCCTTGGCTTAAATTTTTTTATCTCCAATTTGGACTTCAGCTTCATTAAGCTAATTTTGATTCAACTTGGTATATAGATTCTAAGTCCAGCTTTAACTGATTTAAGATAGTTAACTTGATCTGCCCCTCCCTGGGCCTGCATTCTATTTTTGGCCTCCACCTGTTCCCAGCCTTCCTCTCTCCATCCAAGGCTTTGCTGCCTTGTGTACGCCTGACATTCCCTAACCCTTAGTCAGCTTATCACGAAAATTAGGCCTAACAGCCAACCCCTCAGGGAAAAACAAATGGAAATGTCCTGCCCTTTTTCACAGAGAAAGGCATCTTTTACTCCCTGGTCAAATTCAGCAGCAGGGTCAAATAAGAGCATATTCTTTTTCCACAGGATATGAAAACCTTAAAAATTTGTAGCCCCTAAGTGCTTTCATAGATTATAAGGTTTATGATCCAGCCACCATTTAGCCAAAAGCAACTTTTTAAAAGGCTTAGGATATTTGATGGAGTGAACTTAGAAATTATTTCAGCTCTCACCAGTAACATTCAGACGCTAACCTCGCCTGGGCTCTCTGCGTGCGGATGCACACGAGGTGACAGCGCGGCCACCGCGGCCGCGGGGCGCCGCCGGACCTCCCCCAGGCTGCCCCACAGCAGGCCGTCTGGCACACGGGGGGTGGCCTTCGCATCAGAATCGCTGTGGAAATTGTACGTGCAAATAAGAATCCGTAGGGAGAGGGTCTGGCGTATTTGCCTTCACCAGAAAAACAGAGCACTCTCATGCATAAAGATCAAACAAAAGGCTAAGGAGGAATTTTAGAAATTAAATGGTTAGAAGTGCTTCTTAGTTTAGTCATTGTAGTAGTTTTAAAACATGGCCACAAAATTCTTTGGTGCTTGTCCCATCAAGAGGTGGGGTCTACGTCTGGTCCCCTGATCGCGGTGGGTTTGAGACTGCGCGACCCACCCGGCAGGCGGAGGCGGGCTTAGACTGCGCAGGTGGCGTCGGAGGCGGCGCCGCTTCTGCCGGTTGCCCTGAACCGCTCGCTCGCGAAGGCCCCGCAGGGACGGTCTCTCAGCGCGGGCCTCGCCGCCCGCCCGGTGGGAGCCGCGGGCAGAGCGGCGGCCGGCCCTCCAGCCCTGCAGGGGGCGGCCCGCTGACGCCAGCCCCGGCTTTCCAGCTGAGGCCCACACAGAGCAGAGCAGAGCAGAGCCACCCCACTGTGCCTCCTTCACATGTCTGCTCTTAAAAATTATAAGCATAACGAGATGGTTGTTGTCTCTACTACCATATTTGGGGCGGTTTGTGACACAAAAGTATACAACCAGAGCAGCAAGAGAGCAGTCGTGGAAGTAGTCCAGAAGGAAATAGGAAATTGATCTCATTCATATTGCATAACTTGAACTTAAGGAGCAGATAACATTAAACCATCAAGATTCAATAGTTAACATCTTATAAAATGTTCCTGTCCCAATTTTAGAAGAATTTTCTCTGAAGCTATATAAATCCTTACACAAGCTTCATTGGAGACTGTACTTAGCAAAGCCTGATTACTAATTGTCATAATTCTGTTTTTAAGTAAATAAATTCAAATGACATATAGTATGGAAATAATATTTACTTAATTAAATAAATATTTAAGAGCATCTACACTGCGCAGCACACTGCGAGGCAGTGAGTTTCAAGTTTTAAAGTAATTAGAATCACCTTGGACGCCTGTTAAAATCCGATTCCAGGGCCCACCCCAGAGATTCTGATTCAGTAGGTGTGTATCTTTGGCAAGCAATTCAGAAGATTCTGATACAGGTGGGATAGTAAAAATCTTTAAAAATAATACCCCTGAAGAGGGGCTGGAGTTCACAAAACAAGTATGTACCACAGGTTCTGCCCTCGAGCAACTTAATTTGAATTAACAGAAAAGGCATTCTGGGAACAGTATAAAATAGCATTTAGGCTTCAAGTTGTGTTTTGGTTTTAATCCACTAGAGTCAACATTTTTCTTCTTTAATTTGAATTGTCAGTTAAGAGAAAAACTAGGCCCAAGAGTCTGAGGTTTTTCTAACTGGCAGGAAAGCTTAAGCAATTTACTTAGTGGTGGATCTGATTAACACTGTTCGTTTACAACTTACATGAGAAATGCATTCTATAGATTAAGTCAAGAATTTAATGTTTTAAAGTTTAATGTTACTTTCCAGGAAGTTTAAGGGAAGCTCTGTGTTTCACATTGAATAATGAGCGCAGGAAGACCCTTGGACTGAATATCCCAGGAAGTTTTGCAGGAAGATTACAAGGAATCTTGTAATCTTCCTGCAAAATGGGGTTAAAATTTTAATAAGGCCTTTTCCCCCACCTATCTGGTCTCTTCTTGCCTTGTGCTCTTGGGATAACATAATTACAAATATTTTCCAAACTCCTTTTTAAAAATCCAAGGAAATATCTTTTGGGTCAAACGTGGCAAATTGAACAAATGTCTGTCTTCTCTCTCTTTGGGAATGCCACTAATCTGACATAAAAGAGAAATATATACTGTCACAAAGGCATAGAGAACAGGGAATGAGATAACACCAAATAAAAGATTTCAAAAAATTTTAGAATCTGAAAGCTTTATGGACAATTGTTAACAGATTTAGAGCAGAGAAGGTAAACCACGAGCGTCTGTGGAGAAATGCCAATAGGGAGCACCCGTTCCTGCCCCAGGGCTCAGACGCAGGCACTTGGAGTTGCCTGGTGCCCTTCAAGGCGAGGACGGCGGGGCACTGACAACAGAAAGACGAGTTAAATGTTTCCATAGGAACAATTAACACCCTTCCACATACAAGCCAGTAAACCAAGCTCTTTCAGGAACTCAAAAGGAAATTTAAAGTTTTCTTTATAAAGATGATTGCAAGAGTAAGATACTGTATAGATGAAGTGAAAGTCACCATGCAGATTGGTAAAAATCCCCAACACCCAACGCACCGGCGCAGTTCCTGTCCCTACCCCGCCCACCTGGAGCATCTGGGAGCAGGCCTAGTCTCCCAGCCCAGAGACTGCAAACGCATCTTCGAAGGACGCAGTACAAATGTTATTTACACACTACACATCAC